GGTGCCACACCTGCCCAGGTGCTCGCAGGTGCCCAGGTGCCCTCACCTGTGCCCACCTGTCCCACCTGTGCCCACCTGTGCCCACCTGCCCGCAGCTGCCCCGGGAGGAGGTGCTGAAGCTCTACCGGACCATGACCCTGCTCAACACCATGGACCGGATCCTGTACGAGTCCCAGCGCCAGGTACGGCCGGGCACGATGGGCACACCTGGGCACACCTGGGCACTCACCTGGGCGCTCACCTGGCACACCTGGGTGACCTCCTGTGCCCACCTCTGCCCACCTGTGCCCGCCTTTCCCTGCCTTTGCCACCTGTGCCCACCTGTGCCCACCTTTCCCACCTGTGCCCACCTGTGCCCACCTGTGCCCACCTGTGCCCACCTTTCCCACCTGTGCCCACCTGTGCCCACCTGTCCCACCTTTCCCTACCTGTACCCTCACCTGTGCCCACCTGTGCCCACCTGAGGGCTCACCTGTGCCCACCTGTGTCCTCACCTGTGCCCACCATTCCCACCTTTCCCTACCCGTGCCCACCTTTCCCTACCTGTACCCTCACCTGTGCCCACCTGTGCCCACCTGTGCTCACCTGAGGGCTCACCTGAGGGCTCACCTGTACTAACCTGTGCCCACCTGTGCCCACCTGTGTCCTCACCTGTGCCCACCTGTACCCTCACCTGTGCCCACCATTCCCACCTTTCCCTACCTGTGCCCAGCTTTCCCTACCTCTGCCCTCACCTGTGCCCACCTGTGCCCACCTGTGCCCACTTGTGCCCACCTGTGCCCACCTGTGCCCACCTGTGCTCACCTGTGCCCACCTGTGCCCGCCAGGGCCGGATCTCGTTCTACATGACCAACTACGGCGAGGAGGGCACGCACGTGGGCAGCGCCGCCGCCCTCGACGCCAACGACCTCGTCTTCGGCCAGTACCGCGAGGCAGGTGAGACCGGCTGGGCCAGGTGTGCCAGGCGGGCACAGGTGTGACAGGTGTGTGCCAGGTGTGACATGAGTGTGACACAGGGATGACTGAGGTGTGCCCAGCTGTACCCAGGTGGGCACAGGTGTGTGCCAGGTGAGCCAGGTGTGACAGGTGGGCACAGGTGTGCCAGGTGTGTGCCCAGGTGTGTGCCCAGGTGTGCCAGGTGTGTGACAGGTGTGTGACAGGTGTGTGACAGGTGTGCCCAGGTGTGATACATGTGTGCCAGGTGTGTGCCCAGCTGTACCCAGGTGTACTTAAGTGTGCCCAGGCGTACTCCAGGTGTGCCCAGGTGTACCCCAGCTGTGCCCAGATGTATCCCAGCTGTGCCCAGGTGTGCCCCAGCCATACCCAGGTGTACCCAGGTGTGCTCAGGTGTATCCCAGCCATACCCAGCTGTACCCAGGTGTGCCCCAGCTGCACCCAGGTGTACCCAGCTGTACCCAGGTGTACCCAGGTGTGCCCCAGCCATACCCAGCTGTACCCAGGTGTACCCAGGTGTGCCCAGG